AATTTTTAAATTTCATTTTTGTCTCATTCCATACCCTAAACCCATTTATAATCTACTTTATCCTTCAATTATAATCTTTTCAAAATTTTAATTCTTTTCAAAATTTTAATTACTATTCATTTATACTAAAGAAAAATTTCAAATTTAAAAAAATTGAAATTTTTTAAATTTTTCTTATTTTTTAAATCTCAAAAAAAAAAATTTACTCCTACAGTCAAACAATCCCCCCCCCCCCCTTTTCCCCGAACCCCCAAACAAAATAAAAAGAAAAAAAATATTCTGTAAAATATTTCAAATTTTAAGATTATTTTGACCTCATCCAACCCCTACCCCCAAAAAACAATAATATTTTGGAAAAATATTTTAAATTTTTATAGTTTCATTTTTATCCCATCTCATACCCTAAACCCACAATCCCCACCCCCACTGCATAAATTTTTTCTTTAGAAAATTATTTTTTAAAGATATTTGAAATTTAAAATTTTTCATTTTTATGTCAACCCCCCCCCCCCCCCCCCATCTAGGTCATCCCTGTCTAAATTTGATTATGAAAATGTTTTAAATTTTAAAAAAAATCATTTTTACACTAACCCCTTACCCCTTCCTCCAAAAAAATAAAATAGTTACGATATATTTGTACATATAATATTTTATGGAATTTTAGAATTTATTAATATTTTAACATAATTGATTCTGTATTCAAGGTCTGCTATTTCCAACCACTGTTCGTCAAAAAAATTGAAAAGAAAATTGTTTTTGAAAAAAATTCATTTTTTAAAAAAATATCGGAAGTCTGGATTAGGTCATGGGTCTGATTTTCGAACAATCTTAGAAGTCGTGTCCAAGTTCGGGTGTTAGGTCTAGTTCTAGATCAATTATCGAAGTTGATATTCGGATCAAAAATTATTTTTCTAAAGAGTATTTTATAGTCTCAAGACAAAAAAAAGTCTAGAAAATATTCTTCATTCACCAACGTAACATTAAAAAATATTTTCTACTCATCAACCAAACATGAGAAAATTTGTTAGAATCCCACTTGTTTTCCAAGAAAACACTTTCTAGCTAGGAAATTTTTCCATGGAATACATTTTCTAGGAAAATATTCCGTGGAAATCGTTTAATTTCTTCATACCAAACACACCCTTGATAGAGAAGTTTTTCATGAACTCAAAACCGCAATTGTTTGATAAATTATTATTAGGATAGTAAAATTACTTGGCATAATTGATCACTTGATGTCGTCCAAACTACACCCTTTAATTACGGGATTAAAGCGGTCAATTGCAAAATATAATAACCCAGCTAGTTTGAGGTCAAATTCAATAATAAGTAGTGTTGTTAGATATCTTTTATATTTTGATATCGAAATTCTAATTTTTAATTACTATTGAAAAATTGAGTTTTTTTAAAAAAAAGGAGAAATACTAACTAATGTACAAGAATTTTAATCAATAATAAATATAAATTGGAGTTACAATTCTTATATATCTGAATTCTAACAGATATTTTACTCAACTTATGCAGGCTTACTAAAGCATCTTGGCCCAATTAAGAGAATATCACCCTAAATCATTATCGACACTCGAGTGTCGAACTAATTGTTCATTTATCAAAAACATCAAGTTACCTATCCTCTCTCGAACTCAAGCTATTACATGGAGGTTGGTATCCCCAAATCCATGTAAATGATCCTTTTTTCTGAATCTAAACTTCTTATATCAAGCAAGTTAGAATATATGCAAGTTCTTGATGTTTACAATGATTATAAATATAACATTTAGCAAAGAACCTTAATACATAATGATCACCCTTCATAAAAAAATATTAGATAAAAATCTATTTCACCATCCATACTCATAACTAGCAGTAAACAACAATTATCATAATGTAAACAACTATTAACATTAATGTATATTTTACACTAATCTGATGTACATTTTATACATGATACACTAATCTGATGCGTGAGACACATTAATTTGATGCGTTGATACATTACTCTAATGCGTCAAAATGAGGAATTTTGTGAAACTAATAGGGGATAATGACAATAAGAGAACTTTAAGGTGAGATTTACGTCATTTTTCCTTAAATGGAACCTTTGATTAATGTAGCACTTGCTATAGAACCTTGTCCGTTCCACACTAATTAATGTACTAGAAATTGTTATTAAACCCTAAAAACTAAGAATAATTAATTGTAATATCTAAACCTAATTAATAATCCTTATAAGAATAATTGTTTGGCTGCGTTTAATCAAGTAATTGATAGTATAATAAGTTTATGAAGAAACCTTACAAGGAGCTGTTTAAACAACGAGTTTCATTAACGAGTTACCTAATATATTTTGCATTGTGCATGTAACACATACAAAATGTACAATAATCATTTATTTTTTTTGGTTTTTTATCGGATGTTCAATATCTGCATTGGAGTTCAACTAATCCCTTTTATTTCTTTTAGTGTAGCAAACAAAATGAGGATTGCGGTTCTTCTTGCATGAGTGCCAAATTAATGGTGGAAGTAGCCTTCGAAGTCTATCCGTCAACGGTGGCCTTAGAGGTGGCAGCTCGTCAAATAGGAGATAAATGTTGAAATTTGTGATCATCTCATTTTAAAAATTTAGCTGCTAGTAGTAGTAAAACTAGGTAGATGGATGTTTCAGCGAACACTCATTCTTTGAAAAATTATATTTCCTTTATTCAATTTTATGCAAAAGGTATTTGACTGGCTACAAAAGTTTTCAGAAAGCAAAAGTCTTTTGAAATTTATGATCTAAAATATATGTCATAATTTTTTGTGGGGGGGGGGGGGTTTAAATTGTCTCATTAAGGTGGAAAGTTTTAAATAGTGAAAAAAATGAGGTTAAAGTGAGGGAAAGTAAGCATCCTATAGGTAAAGGATTAGAGGTTACTATGATAGAAAGAGACAGATTAGGAAGTCATAATCATGGTTATCAAAGAGGAGAGAAAAAGAAAGGTTAAGTGAAAATATAGTGTCATGTTTTTAAGGCATTATACATATATAGATAGACATCTTACCTCATCTGGTAAGTAAATACTCACGTGCGAAATACCATGTACGGTGAGTGTGCTTACAGATCTGATTTAACTGAGTTGAGGTGTCTTAGATGTGCTTTCTCAAAATTAGGATATGTTAACTTGTTAATCGAGGTCTAGTTAATATGTTTTTTGACCCTTGTGTATTCACTTTTTATCAAGCGTATCAACGAATATAATTGTATTAGGCTGTATCAACGAATTGTATATAAGTGTATCAATGAATATAACTATATCGAGTTATATTAGATTGTATCAATGAATACTAGTGTACCAGAAGTATCAACAAATACAATTATATCAAGTGTATATGTTACTTAGTATTCACAATGTATCGATGTATTTTGAGTGTATCTCCAACTAGGTATAGATTTATATCAATAATTCAACTGTATTTTATCCTTGTTCTACATTATTATCATGTGTTGTATACTCTTTCATATTACAAGTGACATTCTAGGTTCACTTTTGACTCTTCACCCAATTTTTATAAAATTCTTAGGTTCACCTCAAATATCCAATGATTGATTCATTTTCACGCAAAAACCTCTTTTATATACAAATCAATAGAGAAACATTTACAATCCTAATTCTTGTTGAAATGTTTTTGTCATAAAAGACATTTCAATTGTTAAAGGATTTGTGATGGAAGAGAATGATGATGATCAACCACCAGCCCCACCCAATCACTCATCCTTCAACTCAAAGAAAACATTTTATTCACCTAAAAAACATTATACCAATTATTCATTTTCCCATAGTCCAAAATTTCCTCTTTTTTGAACTTTTGATAATCTAGGAAAATATGGCTATGATTTCAAGATTATTGATGTTGTCATTGTTTATCATGTTAATCTCTTTGGCGCAGCGTAAAGGGATGGTTAAGGGCTTTGACGAAGATGCAAAAGCGCTTTGTAGTGTGAATCTTGCTCAATTTCTTCCTCCTCCTTATGGTGGTCTCGAAAATATGATCTGCCAACCTGTTTGGAATTCGTACCTCCTACGCGTAAGTTCTAGAGTATTTTGATTCCAATTTATGCTACATTATTAGTATAACGTTAGTCTGTTTGGTCAAGCTTTTAATATCTGCTTATTTTGAATGGTACGTTCTTTTATTACTTGTTACAGTACTCACAGACGAAAGACAATGTTGTAACGATTGTGTTATCAACTGTATACACAACTGGATGGGTAGGTATGGGATTCTCGCGAGATGGAAAGATGATTAATTCGAGTTGTATGGTTGGTTGGGTGAATCCTGAAGGGCAGGGGAAAATCAGGCAATATTATGTTGAGGGCTTAACACCCTCGAAAATTAAACCTGAGAAAGGCGAGTTGCCACTGACAAGCGTTCCACCTCTCGTCTATCTACAAGGTGCTACGATATACTTAGCCTTCCAGCTGAAGTATCCGAATCGTCTCAAAAACCAACCAATCTTGCTAGCATTTGCTACTAAATATCCTCACCACCACCACCTTACTGTACATGATGATAAAACAACTATACTCTTCGACTTCTCTTCAGGTAATTTGTTCGTCTTAGCAATTGTTGCTAGATATGTTCATTTAGTAGGAGAGTAGTGGAGAATGATCATTCAAAGATTTATTAAGTAAATTATTATATTTCCATCAATTGGTATCAGAGCCTGGTCGAGAATCGAATAGCTTTAGTTGATCTAATTATCTCTTTTCTTCAGGTAATTCATTTGATGTTTCAGCTGGATCTAATGATTATACTAGCTCAAGGAAGACTCATGGGGTATTGGGAATACTGGGATGGGGACTGTTCTGCCCCTTTGGAGCGATTTTCGCGAGATATTTAAAGAACCAAAGATCATGGTATTACTTCCACGTGTCCGCTCAATTCATAGGATTCATATTAGGATTCGCGGGAGTGGTTCTTGGACTTCAACTTCACAACAAGCTGCAGGTTCATATTCCAGCACATGAAGGCATTGGGATTCTTGTTCTTGTGCTTAGCATTCTTCAGGTTTGTCTCTCTTATCCGATTTGGAAAATCGAGTACTTAACACCGAGGAGAGACTATCCTTGAAATGATGATTGCATTCCTTAATTTGACTAACAATGGCACTCGTTTATTAACGTGTAGGTGTTAGCATTCTTTCTACGACCAGATAGAGACAGCAAATACCGCAAGTGTTGGAATTTGTATCATGGTTGGGTGGGGAGGATTGCCCTCTTCTTTGCAGCTATAAACATAGTACTGGGAATGCATTATGCAGGCGCGGGGGAAGGCTGGAAAATAGGTTATGGATTTCTTCTTGGTATGATAATGCTGGTGTGTATCGTTCTTGAGACGTTGTTGAGGCTGAAGAAGCTGGACGACCCAACTCATCTTCCAACCTATCCCATGAATTCAATTTAGCTATAAATGGTAATTATCGTAGCATACTATTCTCCTCGATCTTCTGTTGAATAGCACACATTATGTCTACAATTGCTAGTGAATATACAATCAAGCCTTTCTATAACAACGTCGTTTGATTTGATATTTTTTTTGGTTACTATAGCAGAATACTGTTATAGAGAACAGAAGACATGTTTGATGCTAGATTTTGCCTGTCAAGTCATTTTTGGATCAAGTTTCTTCCACAACTAGAGTACACTTTGCCAAAATTGTATTTGAATACCCCCTCCGCAATCAATTTAGGTTCGAGATGTTCTTCCGAGGGGACTTTGCCATGTTCTGTTCAAGGATCAAACAAATTCTCGATCAGGACTACTGATCAAGAAAGAATTTTAACTTTCCATTTTGTATTTTACATTCTTTAGTACCTTTAAATGTATTGACAATTTTGTTTAAGAGTGAAGATTGATTATTTGTGGAGATTAAAGGCAAAGTTGTATGAAATGAACAGTGTGTAATTTTCCCTGTTAGTCATCAGAGTTGTTACATAAGACACCATGTTCCCGGCATGTGGCCATATATTAGTCAGACACCGAGTGGGAAATCAAAATATAAAATACCATGATAGGAGATTGATTCATTCACAGAGATGTCATTACTCTATACTGGCTACAAAAGGCAAGTTACATTAATACGAATTTTAAGTGAATAAAAGTTGAAAGGTTACCTACATCAAATCCTCTAACCCGTGGGTAAATATAGCAGCAAAAGCATTCATTCGAGTTTTAGGCAAAGACAAACCGATCTCCATTGAGTCCTCATGATCATCATTTCCACCTTATTTGTTGAGCAAAACCCCATGAGTTTATGAACCCTACTATAGTAGATCCGTCCCCAACGATATGATGGTTAACGAATCAAACAGATATGCCATGATTCGGAAAAAGTGTCACTTGAATAGCTAAAACCGGTGTAAATTGGACCTCTAATACATCCTTAGGTTCTTTCAACTGAGGAACAAAGTGATAAATATCCTTAGCATTACGTGGATGATCATTACCATCAAGAGAATCGAAATCCATGTCACTTTTCAGACTAAAGTAACGGATATAGAATCTCCGTTCACATAACGTAATTCTGTTAGGATCGAATCCACACACACATACTTGACGAGAGATGAGAGATCTAGACAGAGAAAAAAAGAGAAATTAATAGTTCGTGGTAACACCCCGTGGGTAAACTTCCATGGCGATGAGGTATATATTAATTAATTTAGAGTACAGCCTAAAATTTTGGGAACCTTAATATATGACAATACATCAAATATTAATCAGGCTCCACAACCTAACAAATTCAGAATAATCGCTCGAATTCAATGGACAAACAAAATTACCAGCTAGTGGTAAATAGTGTTTGAGAGTAGGAATAATATTTTGGATCAAATTATTTTTGTCAATAGGGATCTTACAGTATAGAATCATAACACGTTCGTTATATAACCACACAATATCAAAATAGGTTAAAGGGAGTGTCAACTTATCTGTGCCACATGAAGGTGGGGCAACTTCAAATTGTTCAATAATTGAAGCCATTGCTACATAAAATAATAAAGAGAATATGATACTTGAAAAATTAACCAGAAATATATTTGTTCTAATTCACAAAATCGAACCGTATATTTGCTTCTTTTACTATATATAAATATATTGGAAGCAGAGGCGTACCTAGAGGGGTTTCGTGGGTTTTTACGTGAACTAATGTTGCCCTCTCTAGATCATATATAGTGTTGTTATATTTTATCAAAATTATTTAAATATAAAGGTGTGAATCCACATTAAAAGTAGCATATAATAATGTAATGATGATTTGGTTTATCTCTGTGAGTAAAAATAGAAATTTAAATCTTATATATTTATTTTATTTTTGTTAGTAACACTCTGACGTCCTAGTGATTATTGGTAATACTTTTAATGTTTCAGTCAATTTTTATTTTTTTTGCTTTCAAAATTTTCAAGTGTGCAACCTTGAAAATTCCTAAAAAAAATTAGCACAATAATTTTTTTGTATAATTAAATCAAATGTGTATATTAAATTAAAACTAGTAGTGTCGTGTATGTTACACCTATAATTTTTATTATTTAATAATTCAGTATTAAGAACGTAAAAATAAAACTTATTAAACTTATATCTTAAATATATTAATTTTTTCGTAATGCCCTTGGGCTCATACTAGCACATGCCAACAATTTATGCTACAACGAATATCCTCGCTTTTATTATTTTATGAGATTTTATTTCTTTAGATTATTTATAAAGAAAGTTCTTAAATTTAAAAAGATTGACTATATTATTTTATTTTTATTTTATTTATAAGTTTGAATAACTGAACAAATATTATACTCATTACAAATTTAAAAGCTTGACTGTCACAAATATTAACAAATCTAGTATAAAAAAATTATTAAATGGCCAACTGCAATTAGGTGTAAAATTGGACCCACAAATGAAAAAAAATGTCTTTAAAAGGTCAAACTTATAACTGACTCCGAGAGTTTGATATTAACTTTCGCTTAAATATTTTAACTAGGTTTTGTTCATTTTAGACATTTTATGTTATGTTTTGATATGTCATTTTGACACTTTTTTTAATAATCAATCAAACATATAAGGCGTGTGTAACACAATCGTCGATGACGAATTAAACAAAGACACGTGACATATATTAAAAATAATTTAATAATGATTTTTTTTATAAAAAAAAACAATGACTTAATGACATGTGTCAATTTTTATTCCAAATAATTTAAAATGAATTAACCGCTTACAAGCCTTATGTCGTCTTCTCCACCACCCCCACCCTCATCTCTAACCTCTCCCCCACCAGATTGTCTTCTCCACATTCCACAACCCCCCTACCCCACATTGTTTTTCTCGAATATACTCTCATAGTAATTTAACTATTTGGAAGGGATTATTTACAAAAACACAATTTTTTTGCAAAAAGTTATTGCTCTTAACTTCAAATAAAATCAAATTCTTCAAATTCAAACAAAGAGTTTCCTAAAAGAATTTTCTAGATTCTTTTAAGAAAATATATTTTGATTTTTTTCAAAACATTTCGAGGAAGAAAGGCAACAAAATAAGAAAAAATATTTAAGCTTGAGATCTCTTGGCGTTGTAGCACTGTTCGATATATTTCACCATGGAAGGAGTTCAAGTTTTAAAAAATGGTGGCTAAAATGGGAAAGAAAAACAAAAACATTAAATGAAATAGGTTAAAGGGAAAGGGTCTGATATACCCCTCAACTTTGTCATTTAGAGCAGATATACCCCTCGTTATCATGTCAATAATAAGTGTCAAAATTACATAGTGAAACATAACATAAGATGTCGAAAATGAATAAAATTTAATTAAAATATCTAGGTAAAAATTAGTGTTAACTTTAGGGGGCCACCTATGGATTAAGCCTGGTGGACCAACATGTTCAAAATTATTGAAAACGTTATGATTTTCTTGTACAAAAATAGCATATGTTGGTACACACTTCACATAACAACACCAACCAAAATAAAAAAACTAAAGCATAAAATTCATCAAATACCAAAAATATCTTTTTGGATCTTATGATCTAGCTTTTTGTTCACTTCTAAATTGTTCAAAATTTATCTCATTTTATTAATATGTGGTGCCCTAATAGTAGATGTTTTCAAAAAAAAAATCGAACTAATTCACCAATTCAATTTCGATCCTTCTGTTTGATGTTAATGTTTTTTTAAAAAAATTTGATTCTTTGATTTGGTGTTCAATGTATGGGGCTCGTCTTTGTTATTGTTTTCCTCGATAGTCATAATAAGTGTTCGATGGTGAAACACATCACCAGTGAAGTATCTTATACTTTAACTTTATTCTTATTTATTTGTCATTCACATAAAAAATTATTTTAAAATCACCCAACTGTTATAAAATCAAACTATAAGAATATAATCATAAAGAGAAGAAGACAAGAGAAGTAGATAGAAGAAGAGGAATTTTCTTCTTATTCAAGTGTATGCAAGTCTCATCTGTATGTCATACAATAGTGAATGAAAATCCTATTTATAGAGGGAGAAATCACTCCAAATGTCACCATATTAAGTATCATAATATATAGATACATTTTTATCCAAAACGGTTCATGAATCTAGTGAATATGGATGGTTGTTCATGTACCAACCTTATGGACTATCCACTCATTCAATGAATTTATAACACTCCCCCTTGGATGTCCATAGATAATGTGCCTCGTTAAAACCTTACTAGGAAAAACCCCGTGGGAAAAAATTCTA